GAAAAAGCTCAACAAGAGGCAGAAATACGTGAACTAGTAAATGAGCGGCAAGAGATACAAAATGAAAGAGAATCGATAGAGGAAAAATTACCATTAAGAGAACGCGTAAAACAGATAATAAAACGCCATGGCCTGACCGTCACTGGCATTGCTCTAGCTGTTGGTACTATCATCGGTGTTATAATTAATAGTTTGAAAAGTGGACTATCTACTGTAGCAAAGGGTGTTGGGAATGATTTGAAAACTATTGGTAAGAAACTAGCTCAAATACTACCCGGTATGGTTGGAGCAATAGCTAGTTTCATATTTAGAACAGCTGGGGAGGTTGTTGGCTTTCTTGCTAAGAATGCATGGCTACTTATAGTGGCTGTTGTTTTGTATATCATAGAATCATATAAAAAGAAAAAATGAGTATATATTATAAATGACAATACTGTATGTCGGATTAACCCAAGACACACCAGCCTTAGCACTATCCCTAAAAAACCCTATTAGTAATTGTAAAACTATACATCTAATACAATGTTCATTCCATAATAATATAGGTGCAAATATCCCCGATCTATTCCTTCACTGTGATATGATCGATAGTAATCAGGTCATACTGAATAATGATCATGGCCGTGTTTTATCACATATTAGACTTACCACCTCTAATAGCGTAGTCATATATACCCCTAATACATGCTTATACGTACCTTTAGTCCAAAATAAATACATAAATCGACTAAGTTTTTGGGTTACAGATATCAACAATAAAATAATAACTGCTGGTATTTTCCCCCTCATAATGACTATCGAACTGGTATAAATAAATAAATATAATACTATATTATATACATGTCAAATCAAGATATAATCACAGAGGAGCTTTACCCTAAATTACCAAAGAATGTATTAGAAAATGGCGGTAACTTTAGACTGCATAAAGTAAACATGGTCTTATCTTGACTAGGAGAAGAGCACAAGCATTATGAACATGTTAGAAAGAAGTATTCAAGATTAAGATCGACATCCCATGGAATGGCAATAACTACAGGAACTCTCAGTGGTATACTAACAGCTTCGGGGATTGGAACAAGTTTAACAGGGCCTGGTATCATAGTCGGGGTACCTCTCAGTGCTGTTGGAGGTGTACTTGGATTAGTTTCAGCTGGTTGTGGTTTTATAACGAAAAAACTCACTAAGAAGATCTCAAAACATGAAAAAACCATTCAACTAATCAAATCAAAAGAAAATAGTATAAATGACCTCGTGTCAAAAGCATTACATAACAACCACATAGATGAGAACGAATTCGAACTTATCATGACTGAGCTCACTAAATACGAAAAACTCAAATCGAGTATCAGGCGTAAGAAAAACGAAAATCTTTTAAAAAACGATGTGGATGTGAACAAGTTGAGGGAGGAGTTGAAAAAGGAACTCGTAGACCAGCTCGTAAATCAAAAGAAATAACTCTTTCATTCAACAGAGATCCATTTGGGGGGTATATGTATAAGGCAAGATATGATAAAAATATAAACGTATAAAAGTTTATCTCTTATAATATATTATAAAAGATGAATAAATTCCCAAAGGAGGTTATGCTTACTAATAAAACATATCCAACTCCAGCTGTTGGTCTGTACGATAAAGCAGATGATGTCAATAAAATACTAAACCCCCTCAAAATATATGTAACACCTTCAAAAAGCTTCTCCGTTCCTCTTAACAACGTGTTCCAATTAACACCACCAGCGGTACAAAATGTAAGTGATTACACTACATGGATTGAAGAACCAAATTTTAAATATTGGTCCCAACAGCTTAATTTCGCTTGCTGGTGTGCAACAAGTGGGTGCGGGATTAGCTATCATATCATAGAACCTGATACTCAAATCGGATCTATTCTAAGATTTCACGTAATATATACAATCAGGTGTATTCTAAACGACCTCCAAGTTCCACTACCGTGGGATAACACATTCGTATGGTATGGTACTAGATACAATAAAAATGCATTAATGTCATTATGTAACGAGTTTGGTATCGATTCATCCAACCCAGATTTCCGATTCAAAGGTAAATCTACAAATGAAGACATGTTCAATTTCCACTATAGGAGCCCGTATAAAGATAGTTTGTCAGCATATTATACATCAACCCACAAAGATCGGAGTCAATATAATTGGTTTATACCTCAGAAAGGTCATGGCATCACAAAAGCAGGATTGTCACGATTGAATCAAAGCATAGAAGCGTTCGTTTATTGCGTACTAGGTTCACAGGTTAACACTAGATCTTCAATCATTGGTGATTCGGGTTCAGCTAAGGAGACTCAAGACGTATTCTTAAAACTTTTTAGAGACTCGATAATTGAAAAAGACATTTCTAAAAGCATCCAGAGATACCAGTTTGCTATTCAAGAGGCAAAAGTAAAACTAGATTTAGCCATATCACCAGATTGTTGGTTATTACCATCTACTTTAATCATAAATACTGAATCGACTGTTGGATACAATAATAAATTACAAAGGGCTACAAACGATATGAGTTTCGGTGTAAATGATATAAATAATGAGACTAAATCAGTCGGTATAAAAAAGCATAATATGGGGGGTTCAAAGACAAAACTACCACACCAGGTTGATAAACCAGAAACTAACGATAAAAAGCCAGATACGACCAATAAACCAGAAACTAATAATAAAAAGCCAGATACAACCAATAAACCTAGCACACTGGATAAATCTATCATAAAACCTACAAAAACACCACAAACACATGATACTAACCTAATAGCTATTACTGTCGTCGTTGCTGGTTTAGCTTGGTATATGTTCCGTTAGTCTGAAATGGTTTAAGGTAATGACTATTTATTTATAATGTCCCTAATAGGCACAGTATAAATATTATGCTGTCTTTACTATCCTATGATAGTCAAATATATAAATTATTTCTGACTATTAGTATTTTTCTTTTTGGGGCGTTTGTTAGCAGACTTATTATAATCTTCTGGTAATTGCTCTTTTTCTATATACTCAAATTTATATCTATGGTTATCTATTTTAGAAATACCTGATTTACAATTATTTAATCCTTCACATACCATCTTAACAATTCCAACATTTATCCCTAAATACTGTTGCACTGCATACATACTACCATAAAACGACTCTTCATCATCCTTATCAACATCGATAGCTTTAACATATTTCTTATTTCTATGATTATTCTTAACAAATGAATAATCTCTATTTTTAGCAGATTTCATGCAATTCTGTTGTTGTGTTACTAGTTGCAAATTACACAAACGGTTATCTTGTTTATCATTATTAATATGATCAATAACTTTCCCATCTTTGATTAACTCATTATAACATTCCCATATAAATCGGTGTGAATAATACGATTTTTGGGTGGTTTCTTCGTGTTTCCTAGCAGCTACTCGTAAATATCCGTCATGTCCAATTTTCCCTTTCATAGGATTCATCCTAATTATATTAATAACCTCACCATCTTCACTTCCAGCATACCTATTATAAACTGGGTGTATATTATATGATTTTCCATTAACAATAATTTTATCTCTTAATTTTTCAGCCATAATATATATATGTTTTATTTGTTTAAGTCACTTCCATTTACAATTATTTTTTTAGCCTAGCATAGGAAATAAGTTTTTAACCTAGCATAGGAAATAAGTTTTTACCCTAGCATAGGATACCTAGGACGTAAACCTAGGATGTCTTTAACCTAGCATTGGAATATAGTTTTTAACC